CTTGGGAAGTTGGTATTATAGACATATATCTCAATAATTATATTAATTAATTAATTAAACTTCCAATAAAGAAATTCCAATACCTGAAGAACCGGAATTCGTTAGCTTAGTAAATGCTGAAACATTTAGATTTAAAAACGTAAGCGTTGTTTCAAAAACAACTGAAAATGGGTGGATTTTTATTTATACTGGCATAATCTGATCTGTAGGCTGTAAAAAACCTCGTTGTCTTCGAGTAATGTATTATAATGGAAAAAAAAAATATTAAATTTAAAAATATTGAATATTATCCTTTGGATATATGGTCACCAAATGAAATCTCAATAGTAATTACTGATTAAAATTGATATAAGGTTCCATTTGAAACGTCAACAGTTCCGATTTTTGTTACTCTACATTTCAGAAGAAGAAGGACGTTGTAAAGTTTATAAATAATACGGGCTTAAAAATTATTTACTCATAATAAAAACAGTCATCATGGTGAAATCTTATCACGAATATTATTTAAACCAATGTGGTGGCAGTTTAAGCAATATTGGATGTCTTTACGTATCACCACGAATAGTTCAACAAGGACGAGGAATCGGGAACTTTTTTAGTGGTCTTTTTATTTATATCAAACCACTTTTTCTTTCGGGTATAACTGCTATAAAAAGTTAGGCTGCTGCTACTGGAAAGGCTGTAATCAATGAAATCGGGAGAAAGCCCTTAAGAAATATCCTGCAGGAACAGATAAAATTGTTTATAACTTTAAATTTAAATTTTTTTAATTTTTAAATATTTTAAGTTATCAGATAGAGCAATTGATAAAATAACCCGATTCCAAAACGGAGAAGGAAAAAGAAATAAAAAGGTAGGCACCAGAAAAAATCGACACCATTTAACATCCAAACAACAGCGTAAACAAACGAAACCGCATCATAAACGAAAAAGAACTATAAGAAAATCAAATATAAGCGACATATTTTCTAAGACAAAATGAGTAACCATATCGAATGCATGAAGAGTGAACTGGATTTGTTTGCACCACATCCACGCAAAGTTCCATTATAAAAACTGAAGAAGATTCATATAACCCAATTGCTTCTATAGACGGAGCATCATCAATCGAATTTGTCTCTTTAGGAAATGGTGAAACATATCGAGACCTATCAAGTGTTTATTTACGACTTGTTGTGCAATTTAGAAAAAGTGATAGCACCGGCATTGTAGTGAACAATATCTTACACTCTATATTTACAAGTTCCTCAGTTTATTTAAATAATATATTATTAAATAATATATATCATTATAGATCGTATTTGCAAACAGTTTTAAACTATGGAAGATATGTTTCAGAAGTAACTTAGCCTCCCAAGGATATTTCCCGAATTTTGGACGAATAACGGCAGGCGAATATGTTTATCCAGATACCAATCTAAAGCTTAAAAATTTATTTCAAAATAAGGTGGAACTTTTCGTAAAAATAAACGGCGATATAATTAATCAACCAAAACTGCTAATAAATAATGTTGATTTAAGAATTAAGTTTAATATTGAAAAGACTGCATTTTATTTAATGGAAACTGGTACTGAGTCAAATTTAAAGATACTGGAAGCTCAACTTTTCATGAATCATATAACAGTTAACCCAAGCATTTTATTGGCTCACCATCGAGTTTTACAGACCAAAAATACTATATACCCTTTCAATAAGGTTGAATTAAAATCTTTCACAATATGCCTAGGAAATAATACATTTTCTATAGACAATGCAGTTATTGGACAGCTACCCAATTTTCTAGCCTTTTGTATGGTTAAAAACCGTTCATACTCAGGAAACCGTTGTTTAGATCCATTTCATTTTGAACATTTTAAAATTCAACGATTTAACTTATTGGTGAATGGAGTTCAAGTTCCTTCTCAAGCTCTTGAGTTTGATTACTCGAATGGTGAAAATGTTCAGAGCTCACTGGGCTATAATATGCTATTCAGATCTAGTGGGATAAAACATTATGATCGTGGTCTGCAAATTACAAAGGAAATGTTTGACACAAACAGTTTTATATTGGCTTTTGACCTAACTGCCAATCATTCAAATTCGAGTGTTTGTGCGAATTTAATAACATAAGGAACTATACGAATCGAAGGAAGATGCCCAGAACCACTTACTGAAGCAGTTACTTGTCTGGTGTTCTGCGACTACGATTCTATGATTGATATTGACAAGCATAGAAACATCCGATTACTCCTGAACATGAATACATTACAAATTAAATATTTGCTATCAAAGCATGCAAAAACACGATTGATTTTTAAAGGAGTTTTCCCTTCGGACCAGTTACCTAATACTATAAAGGCGAATACCGATCCATCAGATAAACCTGGAACTCATTGGGTGGGCTTCTATTTTGATAGTCCTAAGTCAGCTGAATTGTTCGATTCATATGGTCAATACCCGCAGAAAAAGGAATTCATAACATTTTTAAGATCAAACGACCATAAATATTTTTTTAATAAACATCAACTACAAGGATATTTTTCCAACACCTGTGGTCATTATTGTATGTTATTCGGACTTTTTAAATGTAGAAATAAATTCCTTAACTGCTTCCTGAAAATTTTCAAGAAAAACGACTTTACTTATAATGATAAACAAATACTTCAAATGTTTAAGAACAATTTCAAAAAGTAAAAATAAAATTTTTTTATTATAAGTGTGGACTTCTTAGTTCTTTTTAAATAATATTTTCAACGGATGGCTTTTATTTCTAAAAATTGTTCTCTTCTCGATCCAAATCACGTTGTTTTTCCTTTTTCTCTTCTGTTAAGATCCAAATTGACCGTCCATTCAGTTTTACAAAATCCAACTTAAGTCTGCGATCGGTCTCTTATCGATAGCTCCACAATAGCTGGTCACACCAAGGCGCATAATATGAAAATTGAGGGGTTTTCATTCGGGCAACCTGACATTTGATCGACCTCGATCATATACACATTCCTATGGTTTTATTACACACCTGCAACCAAGGTTTTAGCCTAGCAGCCTCAAGGATTCCCTTATATGGGAGTTGCGTAAGCTGACAATTGTCTACATCTGTAATCTCATAACGGTCATTCGGAAAAACACGGTTTAAGGGGCTTCGTCCCTTACTGTATCCAAACATCGCGGTTTTTCCTGATCAAATTTTTCTTCCAAATACTCGGTGAGCTCATCCACCACTGGCCCTCGTTGTTTACAACCAAATAACAAGGAACTAGGGGTCTTTCCGGTACTACACTGAACGGAGTTGTTTATAGCGAATTCAACACGGTTAAGCAATTTATACCAATCGGCCTGATTCAAAGGCTCTGATAGCTTTCCCAACATCGGTGTCAGAACACGGTTCACACGCTCGACTTGCCCATTTGCCTGCGGAGCCGCCGTGGCTACTTTAATATGATCAATATTTCTACACTCAAGGAATTCTTTAAACTCAAAAGAAGTAAAACAGGTGCCTCTATCGGAGATGATTCTGGGAGGCCGGCTATAATATTCGAAATATTTTCTAAAGAGCAATTAACTTCTTTAGTACTGGTGGAATTGACGGGATATAATTTAACGAATTTTGTGAACGCATCAATGATCACCAACAAAAGCTTTCTCTTTAAGTTAATAGACGGGTGGGGACCTAGGTGGTCGATATGTATTGTATCGAACGGCACCGGTGGTTTAGGGATACTATGAAACGTCCTATTGTGAATACTTCTCGGGTCTGAATGTAGAAAGCACGGTAAACAGTTCTTTATAAATAGATCGACCTTACTCCTCATACCAAGAAACCAATATTTTTCTCTCAGTTTATTTACACACTTATCGGTCGCAAAATGGCCCAACTTCTCATGGAATTTTCTAATTAGTTCTTCTTGCATTAGGCTCGGAACATACATACACAGTTTGTCACTATCCTTCGCTCTATACACTATCCCATCTAACAACACGAAATTCTCAATTTCACCCATCTCTAACTTCTCTCGCACTCGACGGATTTCCGGATCTCTTATCTGTTCGGTCTGCAAAAGCAAATCAATATCATGCGGGGATGCGCCTACAATTCCAACAATCTCTTCAACCTCAGGGGCAAACCTAACGGATTTAACACGTTTCTCAGGACCACAAGGTACACCATGTTTCCTAGGTTCGCAAGAATCAGTAGATCGACAAGATCTAAAAGCTTCACACGGCTTACAAGGCTCACACGGTTCAATAGGTTTACAAGGTCCTCTAGGCTCGCATGGTTTACAAGGTTCATCAATTTTACAAGGCTCACAAGATTTTCCACGGTCAGAAACTACACAAGGTGCAGTAGGGCCACAAGGCTTAAAGGAAGCACAAGGTTGAATAGGGCTGCAAGGTCCAAAAGGTACAACATCTCTAGACAGAATCGGACAGGGATCAGAAATTCCTTCCACTTCTCTCAGCATCTCTGTTTGCCTACTAAGCGCATCTACATGGGCCATGTTTGACCCTGGCCTATGGGCTATCGAATAATTGAAACTTTCTTACTCAAGGGACCAACGGGCAATACGGGGATTTATAGACTTTTTACTTAATGTTTGTACCAAGGAACTACAGTCGGTTACTATTAAAAAGGGTTTATGCTCTAAGTATATTCGGAAACGGCGCAAGGCGTATATGATAGCCAAGGTTTCGAGTTCAAAACTGTGATAGCGAAACTCGGCTGCAGTGGCCTTTCTCGAGTAGAAGAAAACAGGGTGTAGTTTCTTATCCGGCTGTCGCTGCATCGAAACAGCACCAAACCCGTGGGAACTTGCGTCCGTGTTCAATTCGGTTTCATACTGCGGATTGAAGATTGAGGAGGACTCGACAATGCTGTCCTTAGCTGCAGGAATGATCTTTTATCGGAATCCGACATGGAAAACGGTCCCCCTTTTTTGAGAAGGTCAGTCAAAGGCTTTGCTACACGCGAAAAATTGGGAACGATCTTCCTAAAAGAAGAAAATAAACCAAGACAGGAATGTAATGTATCGGTAGATAATGCAATGGTTTTATATAATGATAACTTATTCAGATCTGTTTTCATAACATTTTTGGGTTTGACTAATTTAAGTGGTAAGAGTTTTAGTACATCTCTGCCTAGAAGTATAGGCGTAGGTAAAATAAAATTAGGAATAACAAAAGTTTCAATACTGTAATATTCTTCTTGAAACAAAAGGACCTTAATTTTTCCAAATGTCAAAATATTTTGGCCGCTTAGGCCGCGAAAACTGCTCTTTACTAGGTGTTCGTCCTTTACTGCTTGTGGAATAACTCCTCTGCTAACAAAACTCACGGGGCTTCCGGTATCTAGGAACGCAAAAATGTTATCAATATCAATGCATCCCTCTTCACTAAGTATTCTTATGCTTACTAATTGAATGTATGGATTCCCACCAACGGCGCCATCGTAGTCTTCCTTCTCGTCTTGTCCGTCACAAGTACTGAGGGCAGCCGTTCGCACACGCTTAGGGCACCGCCGATATTGGTGTCCAGTCTCGAAACAATGAAAACAATCTCCCTCCGGGCGCTTCGATTTTTTGCACTGGCCGCTGAAGTGCCCCATCGCTCGGCAATTGAAGCACCTTACGTTTGCAACATCTCCTCCGGCATGAGTACGTTTTGTTGCAGGCACCTGCTGCAGAGGTGCAACTGGACGTACCAATCCCTATGTCTTCCGCCTGTCCTCAGGCTGTACCATCTGGTAGCGGATCATCTTCTCGCGCAGCTCGTCCAAGGAAGCGCAATAATACAATGGCGCTGCGCATCCGGAATTGCCCTGCAGACCATCAACAATGTATTTTATGATGTCTGTTTCCTCGAAGGTTCCTTGCTCCGCAATGTGACGCATCGCAATAAAACTATTCGTTCACCAGAATTAAACGGCTCTGTAATTGCTTTGCCTCCTGGTGATTGGTCATCCGGAATCCGAAGGTTTTTAGTAGGCTTTCGCATAGCTCCTTCCAAGTAGCGGGTTTCTCGAACATCACGTATGAGCGGGCCGAGCCCTCCAGCATCCGATTGCCCAACAGCCAACGTTGAGAGTTGCTTAATCCGTGCTTAACTGCAGCAAGCTCGAGGTCACGAATCCAAACGTGCACAGACATGTTATCGTCTCCAGAAAATTTGCGCAAGCTAGCCTCAAGATGCCTGACATCAACAACGGGCTTGCAGTCCAGCGAATTGCCTTCCAAAGCGGCAACCTTCGCCTTTAACTCAACGAGGTCCTTTCGTGCTGTATATAGCGTCATATGCCTCATGATTTCAGCCATTTCGCTTGGCCCTCGATCCTCCTGCTCGCACTCCCTTCCCACGACGTTCTCCGCTCTGCTCTCTGCCACGCCAATGTCGTCGTTCCGCTCTCCGGCTTCCACCAAGGCGGCATCATCCTGGTCTCCAACCATTGTTTTCACCAACTGGAACTGCAACTGGTGAATATTCTCCTTCCCGGTCAACGGCACGTGCTTCTCAGAAAGGCAGTTGGACAGCTCCTCCATTTTCAGGTTGAGTATGTCGGCGTATTTCATGACGAAATAATGTTTTGGGCGAACCCCACACCTGGTTTGTAAACTTCTTAGTTATTTTTAAATAATATTTTCAACGGATGGCTTTTATTTCTAACAATTTTTCTCTTCTCGATCCGAATCACGTTGTTTTTCTTTTGTGTCTTCTGTTCAGATCCAAAGTTACCGTCCATTCAGTTTTACAAAATCCAACTTAAGTCTACGATCGGTCTCTTATCGATAGCTCCACAATAGCTGGTCACACCAAGGCACATAATATGAAAATTGAGGGGTTTACATTTATTTTATTTTTCTTAAAATTTATGACGGATGAATCATAGTAAGCGCGTTTGTAATTTTTAAATGCCAAACAATTTAATTTTTTGTTGACGGATAATTCTACGTCGGCGTGCTCAGGATTTTTAGATCCCAAACTTTTTATTTTTTTGTTGACGGGTAATTCTAAGTCGGCGTGCTCAGCATTTTTAGATCCCAAGCTACATGAATTTATTTTAACCATTACAGATTCTATTTGGATTCCTTTTTGCTCATCAGAGTATTTTTTTATTATATACGCTTTTAACGGAAGAATAATTTTTTCCTTAGTTAACGACAAATGATTTATTCAAATTTCTTTTCATCAAATAATTTTACTTCTTTACCGTTATAATTAACAGTTCCTTTTTGAATATTAATTACAGTTACTATTTTTTAAGAGTTTAAAACCTATTAGTAAGTCGGATTCTAATCCTTCTATTTTGTAAAACACTTGTTTTATATTAAATATGGTTATCATATGGTAATATTTAATTATAGTAAACCCATTAATAGTTGAAACTCTTTTGTAAATCGGAAGCTCATTTTTATTTTGGTATATTCCCTTTTCTATGTATCAGGATGTTGCACCTGTATCAATTAACACTTTTAATTCCTTTTCGATTTTCTAAACATAAAAAATGATCCTCTTCTACATTATTTACTCTCATTGATTTTTAAACGTGTTGATTTACCCAACCTTTTGGTTCTCGCTTTAATGGTTGATGTGGTTCAGACTGTTTGTTCTGACCGGCGTTTGTATTTACTTTTTATACCCGTTACTCGTAGAGTGAAAGGGTATACTAGATTCGTTGAAAAGTATGTAACCGATAGATGGAAGCGTTTCCGACCCTATAAAGTATAAATATTCTTGATCAGAATCAATAGCGAAGTCGATTGAGCCATGTCCGGCTCAAAAGATGGTTTTCGCATTTTCAAGAAAACCTGATATCTCGGAAACTATAAGTGTTAGAAAGTTCGGATTAGGCATGTAGATTTTTATGCTGCCCCAAATGCGAATTGCTTTTTTCCATCTAGCCACGCCCACTCTTAAGCCCACAAATCTCGGGAACTAAAACAGCTAGAAAGTTAGGCTTAAGAATACGTATTTAAGAGATGTCACTGCAACTTGCCAACAGTTTTCACGCCCACTCTTACGCCCTCAAACCCCGAAAATCGGTGGCGTCTAAAATATTTTGTTATATTATATTATATTATATTATATTATATTATATTATGCCTTCGTTTGACCTTGTATAACTTATTTCTGTTAATATCTATCGATTTACCAAAGATTTTTTAAATCGGAACATTGTCACTATCAGTTGCTCAACATGCTTCCTCTGACAATATGTGGCGGCTTGTGAATTTCCACTAGCAAAATGAATATTTTAAAATTGTGTAAAACAGTAACGGGTATCTTATAGTCGCGGCACTCGACTATAGCGCTTCCTCTTGTTGACACTGTAAAGAACCACAACTGTGGCACCATAAAAGAAAAACCAAAATAAAGACTAAAATTGATTCACAGGTACTAAGAAAAAACTACACAGATACAAATAAATCTTTAGCTTCAACAGGCACCTTCATAAATATAGCCTATTAAGAAAGTCCCAATAATTTTAGGATTTTCCGTGTCGTCATCAAGACATCTACCAGCTACTCGCAGTGCAATTTACTTATGATCTGTATTCCTGTAAGCATCTACAATGAACGGTAATAAGTTTGCCTACAATTAATTTACGAATTTTTCTCGAATTATGATTCTAAACACACACGTCTGTAGAGGACATACATGTTTACATAATATATATATAGGGTCAAAAATGCTTTCTTCTTCCTGTTACTTACGTTTCAACGAATCTAATATACACTATTACTCTACGACTTACTTTCTTGACTTACAGTATTTATAATAAATATTGTATGAATAAAAACAAAAGAAATAAGTGCTTCCTTGGTAAGAACCAAATAATATTTTAGCATGGTGTCTTTTGGACAACGATATATGTAATAATATGATTTATTATTCCTAATTCAGAGAGTTAAAGAACTTATCTTTTGTATTGAGGATTTGAAAGAGCATGTGGTTCTCAGCATCTTGACGAATCATCAATCGATACGTATAATAATTCATCGCACTGACTTTCTTATTCGTTTCCTCGTCTGTTTGTGGATTCCTGATTTTTAAATTGAAATGGTATCCATCTTCTCCTTGCCAAAACTGTAATCCGTCCTACGAACGATGAGTTCGTACTCGTTGAGCCTCACCATTTCCCGCGATTCGAATTCTTCGACAACTATCACGATTGCCACTTCATCGATTTCTCTTCGAATTATAACTGCGTAGTTATCGACTGGCATTCGTTGAAGGGCAGTTTTAAACAACTGAACCAATTCATTGTTATTATTGAAAAGGGCCACGCAGACACAATTTCTAACCTAATGCCCACATTGTAATGACATCGATGCTCAATTTGTTCATCTCGAACATTTTGTCGCCGGTTTTCATGTGTCGCAGACGAAAGGGCTTGAGCGTTGCAAACTCGATATCTTTCTAACCTTACATCCCGTTGTTTAGGTGATTCAGACGAATGGGTGTCAGCGGCATGCTCTCGAAGACTTTCTAGCCTTAATGCTCGTTGCTCGTCTGATTCTGAATCCCGAAATACCGTTTTCGCTTGCGCTTGGGGTGTATATCGGACAATTGCATGCATACAACAACGTACACATTTTGTAAGGATATGTACTCAAAATATTCAAATAAATTGGTGTTTATTTTTTAGCGCACAATAAAAAGAACAACAACAAGAAGTAGCGCTATAGTCGTGTATCGCGACTATAAGATACCAGTTACTGTTTTACACAATTTTAAAATATTCATTTTGCTAGTGGTAATTCGATAGATATTGACAAAAACATGTTATACAAGGTCAAACGAAAACATTCATTATTATTAAAAGTCTTGTCGAGTTGCAGTGGCATCTCTAAAATACGTATAGGTATACTTCTTTAGAGTGGGTGTGGCCGGATAATTGCACCACCATAAGATGCGCTGGCATCCCAAGATTAAACATACTTAATTTCAACTTTCTAGTTTTAATAGATTAAGATTTAAGCTATTTTAGTTTTTCGTGATTTTTGGGCGTTAGAGTGGGCGTGGCAGGATGCTGATGTAAACTTGCGCTGAATACGGACCTCAAGAATCTTCATGCTTAATCTCAACTTTGTATCTCTTATAGTTCCTTATAGTTCCTGACAGACGGACATGGCTCAATCGACTTCGTTATTGATCCTGATCAAGATTACTCTACGCGTAAAGGGTAAAAAATGAATTTTAGGAAAAACTTTTTTATAAAATTTTAACATGCAATTATAACAGAAACTGTTTTGTAAAAAATAAATTTTAATTTTGTATTGCAATGTACACCATTTTAGAAAAAGTGTCATACAAGAACTCACTTAAACTTGAAATTTTATTCCACACACTCACAACACTTTTTTAAACTTTGAATTGGTCACTTGCACTTGCGCCTGTCATCTTTAACGTACGTTGCATTCTGTTTGCATTAGAAATGAAACCTTGCATGCCTTAAAATATAATACCAAATAATCATAAAAAATAACCCTTTTTATAACCATTACTCGTAGAGTAAAAGGGTATACTAGGTTCGTTGAAAAGTATGTAACAGGTAGAAGGAAGCGTTTCCGACCCTATAAAGTATAAATATTCTTGATCAGGATCAATAGCGAAGTCGATTGAGCCACGTCCTTCTGTCCGTCTATCTGTCTGTCCGCCTGTCTGTAGATGACAGCGCATCTTATAGTAGTAAAAATATCCGGCCACACCCACCCATATGCCTACAAGGCTCAAAAGACTGTTTTCACATTTTCTGGAAAAGCTGATATCTCGGTATCAATAAAGGATAGAAAGTTCGGTTTGGCATGTAGGCTTTTATGATGCTCCAAATGCAAATTAATATTTTCCCATCTAGCCACGCCCACAAAACCCGGAAAACCAAAAATGCAAATATCTCGGAAACTATAAGAGCTACAAAGTTGTGCTTTAGAACACATATTTCAGAGATGTCACTGCAACTCGGTGGCGTCTAAAATATTATTATCAATGCCTTCGTTTGACCTTGTATAACTTAAAACCAAAATAAAGACTAAAATTGATTCACAGGTAATAAGAAAAAACTACACAGATACAAATAAATCTTTAGCTTCAACAGGCACCTTCATAAATATAACCTTTTAAGAAAGTCCCAATAATTTTAGAATTTTCCGTGTCATCATCAAGACATCTACCAGCTACTCGCAGTGCAATTTGCTTATGATCTGTATTCCTGTAAGCATCTACAATAAACGGTAATAAGTTTGCCTACAATTAATTTACGAATTTTTCTCGAATTATGATTCTAAACAAGCACACACGTTTGTAGAGGACATACATGTTTACATAATATATATATAGGGTCAAAAACGCTTTCTTCTTCCTGTTACTTACGTTTCAAC